TATAGTGACAGTGGCCTCCACGCAAGCCTCCTGCTCCAGCTACGTACCAGAAGAAGGGCGGCACTAGTGAGGTACTACGATTTGCTGGCAAGAGCGCCGCGATAGAAAGAGAAAGCGCCAGTCGCAGCATTGCATGCAGAAGAGCTTGCTACCGATGCTGCTTCTGCTGATGAGGATGGGAGTGACAGCGGAGACGAAGATTACGTTGAAACAGGAGAAGACCAAGGAAATGACGACGTCGAGTTTGACATGGCGACAGCGCCAGAGATCACAACACCGAAGAAGGCGGCGAAGTCGAAAAGACCGGCAAAGGCGCCTGGCAAGGCCAAAGCAAAAGGTAAGCGTAAGCGCGCACCATCGAAGAGATCAAGAGCTGACAAATCTGCGCGTACAACGAGCCCACACGTTGCTGCTGGTGACGAAGCCGTCAGATGAGGAGATTATGCGTTTTGCGTACGATGTGTATCTCACACTTCATGATTGTAATTGTTTGTAGCGATGCGTCTGTTGGTGGGGATTTGGACTATAGCGAAACGTCGCCATCTCCGCCATGTGCAACAGACACAACGCAGGCAAATCGTGGAGCCATGTCGACATCGGAAGGTGCTTCCTCTGCGCAACAGACTTCACCGCTAACGCCACCTCGGTCTTCGGCTGCCAGGTACGCTGTCACATGATGGATATCAAGCATGTGCGAGATTGATTTTGACAACATGCTGTATATTATTGTTGGTTTTGCAAGGTCACTGGATATGGCTAGTGTTATTCCCACAACCCCGCCTCCTCTCTATTCCCGTCAAGATTCCCGTCACGATGATGACATCTATGATGGTGGTGCATTGGATTCGGATTACGATGATTCAGACACTGGGTCAGCAGAATGGTACGAGGACATGGACAATCTTGAAGATGTTGTGGATGCTGAGATTCCAAGCGAGAGCGACACGGAGACGAGTGATGAACTGTCACTAGATGCGCCTCCAACTGGCGATTCACCGAGTTCTACACCTGCAGTTGGCGCAGCTTCAACAACAAACCGTCGCGGGGGACAGCGACCTCCACGAAGTAAGGAGGAGGCCGAACGCTGGAAGGGCATCATTGACAATTGGCGCATCGTAGAAGGGTCTGATTTATCGAGTATAATAGATACAAAGCTCGCTACAACTTCT